GGGAAGGAGGAAAGGGCTGTGATGTGGATCTCTGAGAACGCCAGGAGCACCGTGTACGTTTGAATTTCTGTATTTCTGCTTAAAGTTTTCAACTCCAAAAACGTACAGAAAAAAGGCGAGGGGACCTGGGTTGGCTCGGGCGGGGCGCGCTGTCAGCGCTGCGGCGGCGGGAACGGCTGATCCCCCTCGGGCTCCTGGCTAAACGTGGTCGGGGTGGGGGGGGTGTAGGTGGGGTGTAGTGTCTCGGCACCCAGAAGCCTAATTGATTGTGTTTGCTGTTTCCCAGGAACCATCCAAGGCAGGGAAAAGTGGGAAAAGTTCTAAAGAAGGACCAGACACAGTAGAATCAGAGGTAACTTCTCATTTATTCCTTCCCGTCTGGCATGCACATCTCACTTAGGGCAGAACAGTTGAGGGTGACAACCTGGGGTCTTCTAAAATGTGTTCCCCATGTAGGAGATTTTTCCTCCTAGGGTCATTCTATAGTCCTCAATTTTAGTTGCTCAGGTTTTTATTATTCTGTTAGGAGAGCCTCTGAGTGTTTGGAGGCGTGTCTTTTTAAGGTCTTCCCCCCAAACCTCCCCCCCCTGCAGTGACTAGCCTGTCCAAGCCGTGGCCCCGCCTGCCTGTTGGTCTCAGACCAGCCCCTTCCTCTCTTTGCCAACACCAGGTCCCTCGCCCAGAGGCCCACGGCCGGTGTTCCGGGGTGCAATCTTCACTACTGGTTTCCCTTTTTTACCACTAATGTCTGTCTGCTTCCTTCCCCTCTTTCCCCCATGATGTTGCTACATGTTGGCTTATCTAGTTTTGATATTTCTGTGCCATCTTCTGTCCTCTTTCCCACTCTTTCTCCGCAGCTCTGACTTCTTGGCTTTGGGGACTCTGAAGAAGCTGGAGTAATGAGGGGCTGTGTCCTGGGTGGGGGTGTCCTTCCTGAGCTGTGAACGTTTGTAGAAGGGGCACTGGCCTTTTCTTCCCTGAGACAGTTGTGACCCGGGTGCTGCGGTCCCCCCGCCCAGCAGAGCACACCGGCCCTTGGGTAGCCAAGGAGCTGGTCAGGGCTGTCTTCTCCAGGGCTGGCTCCTGGAGGCCCCTGGCTTATCACACAGACACTGATTTGCAAGTGTCAGTTCCCTCCCTGTGAGCCAAATTAGAACCTGCTGGTGTCTGTCTGGGAAACTCAGAGAGGCCTGATCTTTTCCTGGCCTTGGTTGTGTTTTTTCTTGTGGGCTGGCTCATTCGCCACCTCCCTCCTCTTCACAGGTGGTTTACTCCAGCAAATGTCTTACCCTCCCAAAGCAAAAAGCAACAAACTCAAAGGTTCCTTAAATACCAATAGTTAAGAATTATCCGTGCCAGCCTCTCCTGCCCTGTTTTTATAGCAGACAATCAAGTTTTATGTGGCATTTTGCATTTGACCGACTGATACTTGCTGTATTGCTGCATGGAATTAACTAGATGGAATTTAGTCCCTCTACGGAAGTGTGTATTTCTCCTCTTCTTTTGGCTTGTGATCTTTCATTAAAGCTGCTGAGACTTCCTAATGATACGGCTGGACCTTTCTCTGTCACAGGCCTGTCTCCTTTCTCTGCTACTGTCCCAAAGGGTGAGCAGTGTGCATGGTCTGTGCATTCCTGTTTCATGGAAAGAATCTGGCTGTTGGAGTGAATAATGTTAAGTCTGAACCTGAGAGCGCCACCTCAGGGAGCCCCCCGCAGAGATCCCCCCCGCCCCACTCCGCGCGGTACTGTCATCAGGGTGACCCTATGGTGCCCCACGATGCCCTGCGTGTCCCTGTATTGCTCTGGCGCAGCGGAGCCAGAGTGCAGCGCTCGGCCCACCACTGACAGGTCCCGGCGCGGCTCCCCTGCCCTGGGCCGCTAGCAGGACCGGGCCCTAGCTGTGAGCCATCTTGTGGGAACGCACCTCGGGGCTCCCGCTCGCCTCGCCTGAGTCGGCCTCACTCTGCTCTCGTCATCTCTCTGCCTGTCTTCGTCTCACTTCTTGGCTTCTGGTTCCACCCACTCATGAACCCATGCCGGTGACTCGAACCTCGCCGCCATCCTCCCTCCTGTCTCCAGTTACTCTGCGCTTTCACTGCGCCGCTGTTCAGAGAGGCTTGCTCCGGCCTTCCCAGCATTGCCCCCTTTCCCAGTCAGCGCCCCCGGGGCTCCACAGGCTGAGAGATATGCAAAACAGGTCGGTGCCAGAGGCTCCGGCTTGTGAGGTCATGCCAGCAGAGGGAACGTTCAGAACCTGGTGACGTTGGAGTCCACGCCTGTGTCAGGGATGTGACAAGTCCGTAGAATGAAATCCAGTCTCTGTCCTCACCGAGCACGGGAGACGGTGGCCCACCACGGGGCCGTTTTCTAAGCAAAAAGCGGATCCCAGTGGCTTGGATTTTGAGGCAGGAATGTGAGGTCCAGGAAGGCAGGTGGTGTGGTCTGGGTGGCCCTTCCAAGCGGGACGAAGCTAGCCGGCGAACCCGCTCCCAGGCCCACGAGCGACGGCCCCCACCCCATGGGTTGGTCCCTCATCGCGCTCATGTGACTTGATGCATCCTGGCTATGGGCACCCCTGACTGCAGTGCGGGTGGGCTCACCCCTGAGAGAATAGGGAGCTGTATCTTTGTCATGAAATGCCAGGAAGGGTCACCCCTGTTGCTGTGCTCATTTTTACCATTTCATAGAACTTTCTACTCCTTGATAACGGGCACGGGAACTTTTTTTTTTTTTGTTCTCTGTCAAACAGTGTCTCATTCCAACTTGCTTAGCCACGTGTGCCCTAGAAGTAAGGTTTCTGCAGGACATTGCCACCACCGTGTTTCTCAGCGTGTGTGAGGCGGGAGGGCAGGAGGCTCCAGTGGACAGAGGGAGCTCGCCTCCAAGCAGCCGCTCTCAGGGTAATATCCACATCATGTTGAGATTCTTAAAAGCTGCTCGGATGCCGAAGGCCCGATCGGGAGTGTCAGGTCAGGCCACGGCGTCGGTGGCGCTGTTGTCTCCTGGTGGGTGAGCGGCGCCAGAGCTGCGTCATACAGGAGCTCGTGCGTCCGTAGAGCGGGGTGCACGCAGCCAGAGACTGGCTGGGCTCCGTGGTGCCGCTGTGCTGGGGCTTGCTGCAGCAACTCTGCCGAGGAGAGAACAGGAATCCGCCGGGCCTGTGGGCTATTCTTGCTGCCTCCTACCTCCGCCCTAGCCCCTTTCCCCTGCAGGCTGCTCCCGCCCACAGTATTTACAAAAGTCAGCTAATGACAACACCCATTACCCCTTAACATAAAACCTTTTCTGGAAAAATATCTTCCAGCATGTCTCAAAGTCACTGCTGTGTAACGGAAGTGAGCTGGCCTTGTGCTCTCAATTACGTGTGCTTCCTGGGAGCACAGCTGTGGTCACCACCCTGAGTGGAGTGTCCCCAGCGCCACTCGCCCAGAAGACCAGCACCCACGGCGTGGCTGAGTTCTGAGCTCAGCTTCCGGGAGCCTCCCGGCCCTCCTGTCTTCCGACTTTACCCCACCAGCCCAGCACTGGCTCTGGGGGACTCAGAGGCCCAGGGACTCGTCTTTCTGGCTGTTCCAGGAAAGTCACGTCATTGCGATGGAGCAGATGGAGTGCGTGCATTTCGTGGCTCTGTCATGGCTCAGACCAGGACCACGGGGTCTCAGCAGGGGCTGACTTGTACAGTGGAAGGCCCTGGGTGGTGCTGGGACGCAGCTGGGCAGCTGCTGCCCAGAGGTGGGGAGCAGCGGGCCCCTCCCAGAGGTATCACCACTCCAGCTCCTGCTCACGCCTCGGTAGACTCGGGAGCTTCCCACATGGTCACTCCCTTGGACCAGGCTGCCCGCCCTCTAGTCCTGGACTTTCCCCTGGCACCGCGGGGACCACTGCCCCACAGCATGTGCGTTTGCTGGCCAATCGCGCCTGGCACACACTGCCTTCCTCAAGGATGGCGGGGCACCCTTCCCTCTGAGAATGGGCATGGAGCCCAGCGAGCTGTTGGGTGGGTCCTGCCTGCCAGCCTTCCCTAGTTAAACTTTGAACTGACGTTTAAAGCCTAGCAATTAAAATGGGAAAACTTAAGCGTTTCTTAATTCATCTAAAGTAATATGCTGATGGTGTGGCCACATGACGGACATATTTTACTGAAAACATGGCCTCTAGCAGCTCCCTGAGCATCACAGCACTGCTATTCCAGCCGCTCGGCACCACTCCTGCGCCTGTGCGCCTGCCGTTGCGCGTCTTGAGGCCTCTGAAAAACCCTCACAGGGTTCTGAGGCAAAGTGTCTCCTGGGCTGTCAGGGATGAGCCAGTTTGGACTCCGTGCTGCCTGGAAGGGTCCGAGGAACCCTTGGGGTCCCGAGCCCACACTTGGAGAGCAGCTGTGTGGCCCTCTGCCGCCCGTCTGCGCCCTCCACCCCTCAGCCCGGCTCAGGCACCCTGCGGGGCAAGGGGGCAGTTTCTTACCGCCCTGCATTGCCACCTTAGGTTTGTGCGGCTGCCCCGGAGCCTCCCCAAAGCACCCTGGAGACACCCCCAGCGCGACTGACTCCTCTGCAGCATGCTTGGGGGGACAGGGTGAGCCTGGCTGTGCTTGGAGAAGCAGAGCCGCGGTCAGTTGGCTGAGCGTCGGGACTGCCGCGTGCAAGCAGGGGAGTCTCCTGCCGCCCTTTGGCTCATTCTGTGCGATCGGCTGTAAGCAAGTCGCATTCTACCGAAGCAGAAGATCTTGGCCCTGAGGTCTTGGAACACCCTCTGAAAGCTTTAGACGAGTATTGTGGTTTTGCTTTGACTTTGCCCTCGCAGCCCACCAGAGGTCAGTGGCAAGGAGCAGCGACCGGAGACCTTGGCTTACCCCAAGCATCCTGCCATGGAATTTCCTTAAACAGAAGCGTTCCGAGGTGCTCTTCAGCGCTGTGTCTATTTTACATGGACTTTCGGAGTGCTTCTCCGTGGAATGTACACACGTACCTTAACACGCCTTCTCAGCTGTGCCCTGGGGAGGGGAGACGCTTGTCTGAGCATCTCACGGTGCGTAGGCCTCGCCTGCTGACAACCTTTCCCTCTTTCCTCTGACATGTGACTCCTGTTCTTTCTGGATGCTTGGGACCCAGGAGGGGCCCGGCCCCCTTCACTTCCCTGAGACGATCAGCCCGCTGCAGTGGGCCAGGTGCTCTGAGAGACCCCGCAGACGGCTATCACAGTGTTCCAGAAAGCGGGTGGGGTGCTCGTGGGCGCAGCCACCGTGCCCATCCAGTGAAGGTTCCCTTCCTCCTGGGTCATTCTCAGAAGAAATGACAAGTGCCTGATCGGGAACCACCCCGTTTGCTGTTTTCTGGAGGAAGCTGGGGCCCTGGTGATGCAGCTGTGAACTCGGCGAGCGCCCCAGCTCCATGGGGGGGGGGGCGCTGTGTGGTCAGCTCAACAGCGGGTGCAGGACCACTCTGTGCGGTCACTGGGACGAACTTGCTGGAAGACTCCAGCCGTAAGGCGTCCAAAGCTTCTTTAAAACGTTGGGCTCCCACCGGGTCAGCCTGGCCTTGGGCTGGGCGTGAAGGTGCTGGGCACCCGTGGAACTCCCAGACCCTAGCCCACACTGCCTTCCTTGGGGGGCTGGGGCAGGCAGGCGGCCCAGGGTCTCTGGGCGCAGGGGAGGCGCTGCCCAGTTTGGAGGACTCAGGGTCCTCATTCCTGGAACCAGCTTCGCCAGGGGCTGCCCGAGGCTGGTTTTCCCCAGTGGGCGTGTCCGCAGCTGGGGGGTGAGGGGGTCGGGCCTGGCTTGGAGGTACCAGCAGTGACGACGAAATGAAGTTCGAAAATTCAGTCTTCTCTCTCACGGGCCAAGTGGTGCCGCGGTGCCACAGCTGACGGGACAAATGGCCTCACAGGAAGCTCATTCTGGGGGGCAGAGCTGCTTAGGGACCAGGGTGTCTCCAGGGAATTCTAACATGGGGGATGGTAGTTGACTTTTATCAGCTGTCACTCCTGTTAGTGTGAAATAGCACATTTCACACTGTTGCAGGGTGGCCAGAGAGAAGGAAGTGGACCGCTGGGGAGATAGGCCTGTCTCTGTGGTGCTGAGCGAGGCCCGGGGCTCTGGTCTTGGGGGCTTGTCAGCTGGCTGCTGCCTGTGGGCCTGGGCCAGGCCTTTATTGCGTGGAGCAGGCCAGCCAGCAATCTCAGATGGCCCTGGGTGCCTTGGTCTCCTTCCTTCCATACCCTGGCTGGCTGGGCCGTGCCCACGGGCTCGGTGGCTGTGGACACCCTGGTATTCAGCCCAGAGTTTATCTCTTCAACCTCTCCTCATGCTCAGCCTGCCCCTGGGCCGAGCACCTGCACATCCCGCCAGCCTTACCCTCAGTGGTTTCCACGTGGAAGTCGCCTCTGCCTTGCTGGCCCACCCCACCCACCATCTGCTTGTTGCCCTGCAGGCATCTGCCGAGGCGCTTGTCCTTAGATGCACCAGCCCCGTGCAGCTCTTTCTGTGGCTCAAGTTGGCAACTGCCCCTTCCCTTGTCACTGGGATCGGGAGCTCCAGGGGCCTGCCGACCGGTGCGAGTGCATGGCCTGCCTTCATGGGGAAATCTCTTCCGTTGTTCCTTTCACCTCTCTCTCAGCCAGGAGTGGCTGGCCTAGTGCAGGAGACTTTCTCTGTCAAGGTGTTTAGGTGTTTATAGTAAATGCGTTAGGGTCTTAACGGTCACAGCCCCTGGGCTCTGGGGCCAGGGGCCAGCTTCAACCCGAGGGCCCAGTTTGCTAAACCCTGGCCTAGGGCAGCCAAGTCAGAGTCTGTCCTTGGCGAACCTGTTTGTGAGGGACCGGGCGCCATTGTTGCAGGGTCTCAGCGGGCAGGCCCAGCAGCAGTGATGCCCAGCCTGAGGCATTCCTTTGCAGTGGTGTCGGCTCGCCACCTAGAAGCAGTCGAGACCAGTGATTCGCCCTGACCTGTCCAATACCGCGTTCTCCTGGCTGTGAACTGAGGAGCAGTGTCGTGCAGGGAGGCACCCGAGTGGCAGGGACGAGGCCCGGCGCTTGAATGCGACGCCTGCGAGCCCAGAGGCAGCAGCACTGTGACCCTGCCGCTGGGTTTGCTTCTCTCAGTGCTGGGGCCGCTGCCCAGCTGTGCAGGCATCTGGCCGGGAGCCGTCAGCTACAGGCAGCACGGGACCTTCTCCGGAGCCTAGGGGAGCCCCACAGCCCTGCTCCCCTCAGGCGGTGCAGCTCAACGCACAGGCTGCCTGGAGCATTGGGAACTGGCCTCGGCCCCAGTCCGACAGCACCCTTCTCCCCCTCCTCTGGTCCCACCCTGAGGCCCCACCCCCCACCCCGAGTTCTCTGCATGAGGCTCTGCACAGGGAGCGCCCAGCTCTCACCCTGTCCGCCTGGCTGCGATCTGGGGGGCTGATGAGTATTTCTCCTAGTGTTGTATCTCACTGTCCAGCCTAGTCTCCTCTCGCCGTCTGTCCTCCCACCCAGCACCCCACTCGCTGTGCGTGCCGTCGGCACCTGCCTCCTGCACCAGGGTGAGGGCGGAGGTGTCCAGAGAGCAGACAGGACAGGGGCTCTGCTTCTACCCGGGGTGGGAGGGGCCCCCTAAACCCGCCGTAACGTGCACATAGACAAAGTGGGCGTTCCCTCCAGAACATGAGTGTGTCATGAGCCTGTGACACCCACCCCCTTCCCTGGCTTTCTCAAGCTCCGATTTCCTCCCCGGGGCCGCCCCATGTAAATGGAGTCACAGTACCAAGCAAGTCTCCAGGCCCAGCCCCAGCCAGTGTCGCTGCTTCATTCCTTCCTTGCTTTGTTTTTTCAGTTTTCCTTGCGAGCACTCCAGTCTGTGTAGGCGCGTTTGGTCTGTCCCATCACCCCCCAGCCCGGGCCTCTGGGGGTGCCAATGTACAGGCTGTGGCTTGAGCCCCTGTCTGTGCTTTGGGGTGTACATCTAGGGTGGGGCTGCCGGGACGCGTGTGACTTTGGTTTCAGGGGCCAGGCTGTCTGCCCCCAGTGCCAGGTGGCGGGGCTCCCTCTCTCCGCGTCCTCAGGGCCGCCGCGTCAGGGCAGCGGGCGGCCACGCTGGCCATGGTGTGTGCACAGAGCCGGCCGCCCAGTCCTGCCCCCGTTTAGCTGAGCGGCTGGTCTGTCCTTGGCGGGCTCGCGAGACTTCTCCCATCCGGTGCCTTTTCTTTTCACTCTCTTTTATTTTGATTATTTCTGTTCTTTTCATTTTCTTAAGAGTGTCCTGTGGTGCACAAAATGTATAAATCCTTGAAGTCCAGCTTGTTTTTGCTGTTACTTCTTGTGTTGTGGTATCACAGCTAAGAAACTACTGTCAGTTCTTAAAGATTTACGTCTTTCAGTTTCTTCTAAGAGTTTCACAGTTTCAGCTCTCACCCTGAGGTCACCGATCTGTTTTGAGTCACTCTTTGTGTAGGGTATGAGGTAGGGCCCGGCCCTCTCCTGCATGTGATGCTCTGGTGTCCTGGTAGCACACGCCAGAGACACTGTCCTGTCCCGCTGGGTGGCCGTGGCCGAGTCCTGCTCCGCAGACCTCAGTGTCCGTGCTTGCGCGGCACCATGCTGCCGAGAATGCTCTGAGGAGCGCGGGCAGCTTGGTCCCCCTGGAGTGAGGCCTGTGCGCAGGGAGCAGGGGGGTGAAGACAGGAGCCAAGACCAGGGTTGTGGGAAGAAGGCTTGGCAGCCCCTGGGTCTGGTGGCTGCGTGACAGATGGCGCTGTCCTGCTCCCCAAAAGTCCACAAGGCCAAAGCATGGTACTCCTGAGCCGGCGGCCTGACGAGCGCCAGGGTGGCTGCATCTGCGTGCTGGCACGCTCCAGGTCTCGAGGGGCACGCGAGTGTTTTCAGAGCTGGGGTTGGGGCTCCTGGGAAGAGGCGGTGGCAGTTCACGTCCAAGGACAGATCCTGGGACAGGAGCCTGAGGGTGCCCAGGAGGCCTGTGGGTGGGGTGGGCCCGGAGGCAGGAGACTGGGAAAGCTGGCAGCCCACAGGGCCAGAGACAGGCCTGGAGTGCATCCTGAGAGGTCCGGGGCTCTCCTGAGGGCGGGAGAGAGGCACAGATGACCTTTGAGCAGGAGAGGAGTCTGACATCAGTCTTAGGAAGGAACTTCTGGGAACAGACCAAGGGAGAGTTGGGGAGAAACCAACTTGTGCTGACTGTCCGGAGCAGCAGCTGCTTTGCTAAGATGCCAGCTCTGGGCTGCTGCCTTCCTAGAGGTCAGGGGAGGCAGGGTGAACCCCCCGAGGCCATTCTCCAGCGTTGGCAGTCCTTACACGTTATCATTGTAGTTTCACACACACTCAAACACGCCCCTAAGTGGCCTCACACGTGGCTGTTCGTGTGAGAGCTTCGTCTCGTCTCGTCTCGTCTCGTCTCGTCTCGTCTCGTCTCGTCTCGTCTCGTCCCGTCCGTGAGTCTCAGCCATGCTGCGGCCCCCCTCTGCCGGCACACGCGGGCAGCTCCCTCCCTCCCTCGAACCTGCTATCCAGACCCAGGTGGTGCCTGCCCCATATGGTCCTCACCCCCGCCAGTCTGCAGGGGCCCTGTGTGCTTGGGTTGGCACCTGCATGATGGGTGTGGCTCTCAACCGAGGACAGGTCCCCGGGGACGTGGGACGGTCCAGAGACCCTTGGGTTGTCACCCCTGGGGAAGGGGCAGGACATGCGGGCTAGGTCGGGCCAGGTGCTGTGCCAACCTGTGCAGGCCTGTGCCCCACCCTGCATCCGCAGGGCTGCAGCTGGGAACCGCTGTGACTTCCCCCAGCTCTGTGTCCAGGGGTTGCACCCCTGAAGGTCAGTTCAGTTCCCTCTCCTGGTGTTGCCAGGAAACAGGTGGTTAGACCTCAAGGCTTGTTCAGATTTAGGTGGGACGCTGGAGGCCACAAGCTTCTAGGCCCTGGGCCTGGTCACAGCCCTTCAGAAGCCCCACCATGGCTGCAGCTTCCCCCCTGCTCCCCTGAACCCTGCCCACGTCCCCCACCATCCCCAAGCTCTCTCTCCAGGACCCCTGCTGGCACCGGGGCCTTCCTGACTGTGGGTGCGCAGACAGTGACCAGGAAGACCAGAGCTCAGGTGTTGATGAGCCTAACAGAAGATGCAGAGGGTCAGAGTTGGGGAGGAGGAAGAGGGCTACCAGCATGGAGGACGTGCGAAGGGGAAGAGGCCCCCAAACGCTGCCCCTGGGCATTCTGGCTCGGGTGGCACGTCCAGCTCATCCTGTCCTCGAGCCAGGGGCTCCTAGGTGACTACTGGCCAGACCTCTGTTCCGTCCACACCCCTGCACTCGCAGGCCCTTTGGCGGCCCCTCTCCAGTCCTGTCCATCTCAGAGCAGGCAAGCAGAAGAAGATTCTCGCCGCCGCGCCCACTCCCTCGGCTCCCAGCACCTCACACTCTTGCCGAGAACAGAGGCCTCACTGGGCTGGAACTGCCTTTCTTGGGGCATCGGGCCTTGGGGAATTCCACGGAGGATGGGCCTTTGGTGGGGTTGGGGAAGCAAGGCCCACATGTCACCATCAGGGGACAGAGTGACTATGCCCCTGTCGGGCCCAGGGAGCCCCATTTGGAGGAAAAAGCTGCAGACTGGGAACAGTGTGCCCTGAACTCCCTTTCAGGTGACGCCTGTTTCTTAGCAAAAACTTCACTCAGGAATGAGAGCATCGGTTGGTGTCCGCCCTCCAGAGGAGCCTGGCCTGGCCGCTTCCCGCACCAGGCTGGCGGTGGGCCCGGCCCTGTGGGCAGACCGAGGTGGGGCACTGAGGAGCGGCAGGGCTGGCTGACAAGTGGGCAAGCGCGGCCTGCCCTGCCGCCCATGGGGCTCCAGGCCCTGCTCGGCCGCTTCTGCCCCGGCTGCGGCCGCTCTGCTTGCCAGTCGGCGCCTCGCCCAGGCGTGTGGCGCCATCGGTGCCGGGCACCACACACAGGGTGCGCCCAGTGGCAGATGCAGAGCCGAGATCCCGGCAGCCTGACAGGGTGAGAGCTGTTGCAGGTGGCAGCACCGAGTCCTGTGACGCCGGGTTTGGTGGCTCCAGAGCGCACACCCGTGTGCCTGCCAGGCGCCTCGGCAGCGCTGTGGCCCGGCTGCGTCCTTGGCGCCCACGGCAAGTGCCGCTCCGGCGTCTGGACGCCGCGTGCATGCTGGCGGGGCCTCGCTGCCGCTCCGGCCCGCTCCGGCCCCGGCCTCTGCGGCCGCGTCCTGTGCTGTCCAGACCAGCGGGGCTCAGGGCCCCCTTGCCGCGCCCCGGACCCCATCCCTTCGGGGAGCTGGGGAGCCGGCCGCAGACGCCAGCGCTGAATGTGCCGCCTCCGGGGTCATTGCTGAGCTCGCAGCGTCGGCCCGGTTGGCGGATATTTGTGAGTCGGGTTCGGTGAGACGTGAGCGCAGCCGTGCCAGCGCCGCGGGGTGCGGTCTGGAGCTCCAGGAGCGCAGGCGGCGTGTCGCGGGGAGGCGTCCGAGGCGAGTGTCCGCTCCGCGCACTGCATGTGCCGTGACTGCGGCCGCGCCACATGCTCAGTGTGTGTGTTTCTGTTTGGAAACAGATTCCCAGCAGGAAGAACAGCCTCGCCCCCCCGTCCGCAGTGTCCAGTAAGATAAAGGTGCCACTGGCCCAGCCCATCGCGAAGAAGGAGAAGCGGCAGAGCTCCTCCCGCTTCAGCATCAGCAGCAACAGAGAGCTCCAGAAGCTGCCGTCCTTGAAAGGTACCGCTCTGCCTGCCTCCGGGCGGGTGTCCTCTCGGGGATGTGCGCCCCGTGGAGAGTCTGCTGGGGCCGCAGCGGGGGCGGCCTGGGGCGCGCTCCTCCCTCACTGAGGGGCCGGCCGGCTGCCCCACCTTGCTGGCCGCCTGACGCTGCTGGAGGCGAGGTCAGGTCACGGGAGCGTCACAGGTATGACTCACTGAAGAGACAAGGAGGGGAGGCCCCCTTTTGCTAGTCGTCATCACATGGCTGGGTTGCGCACAGCCCCCCCACCGTAGAGCCCCACAGTGAGGGCGGGGTCCCCACGCTGCACCTGGGCCCAGCAGGGCTGCTGTCTGGCGCTCTGGCACGAGCACCGCAGGGCGCTGTCCCCAGGCACCCCCGCGGTGGCTGGTGACCGGCTGGTGACCGCCGCAGACGCTCTGTGCGCCAGCCCCTCCTTTCCTCCGCGGTGTTCAACCGCGAGTCTCCAGTAGGAGGCTTTGCAATTGGAGGGCAGTAGGGTAAGAGCCCTAAAGTCAGGTGGGATCCCCAAAAACTTTATATTTGCTGAAACTAACACTAGTTCTGCTATATGAAGAAAACGTCGGGTGCTCTAGTGCGGAAACCCGCAGCGGCGCCCTCGTGTGTGCTGTCCGGTGACGGGCAGAGCTGCCTGTGGGCCTGCTCAGGCGGGGCGGGCGGGGGCTCATGCCTGGCTGGCGCCAGCCGCCCTCACCATGGCCGCGGGCTTGGCCTCGGCCTCCGGCCGGAAGCCCAGCGCAGCACACGCCGGCGGGCGTCTGACCAGCCTGCCCTCCGAGTGGCGCCCCCAGCAGTGGCCCACCTGGAGCAGGCCAGCCCTGCACTGCTGGGGCCCACGTCCTGCCCGAAGGTGCGGTGGCCAGGGGAGGCAGGCGTGTGGGCCCGCCTGGCAGCACCCTGCTGGCTGCTGGGTGGGCACGCGTCTCTTGGCCTCTGCCGAGCCCCGCAGCCGCCCCCGGCCTGGCCCCGTCCCCTGCGGTGAGCGCCCCGGAGCCCACTACACCCTGGGGCTTCCCTTCCCTGTTCCTCCGGGTGGCCCACACCCCTCCAGGGCTGAGGCTGTTCCCCACCTTCGCCCTCCTTTCTCACTGCAGGTGAGGGTGCCTCCCGCGGCAGGACAGGCCTTGGGTCCCCAACTCTTCTGAGGCATCCATGGAACTTTGTCTAGTTCAGGAAGAGGTGGTGGCAGAAATTACACTTGCATGTTAATTTGGGCTGGCTGACCCCTTCGCCACTTTCCTGGCTGGTACATCTCGATCTTGTTTTCTTATAAGGTTGCATTTTCTTACAAGCCTCTGCCTTTCCGTTAAATTGCTCTAAATACGTTGTCGTTTTTCTCCCTCTAGTGACCGGGTTATGTGTTTTGCATTTCTGCTTCCAGTTACGTCTTGCTAATCTGAAGAGCTGTTTCTGAATACTTGTGCAGGCTCACGGATCACCTGCCAGCTTCCTTTCTGGAGTCCCTGGTCTTGCCATTTTTCTCTTGACATTTTCATCTCTCTTCCCATGCTCCTGCCCAGACAGGCGAGGTGTTTTCATGCTGTGAACCCACTAGCCAGAACCAGTGAAGCGTGCACAGCACGGCAGGCTGCCCCTTCCTCTCCATCAATGACGCGTGGTGCGTCCTCGGTGAATGGCCTTGGGCTCGGCTCAGCCGGCCGGCTGCCCTGGCCTGCTTCTTCGCGGCCCCTGCTCTGGCCCTGGTGCAAGGCCCGTGCTCGCCGCTGCACGGCCTCTAGTGCCTGTCATCCCCCGCTGAAATAGCCGCGTGCCGAGCGTGCGATGCCACGCCACACGTGCTGGGCATGGGCCCTGCCTGGGCGAGCTCGGCACTGCCTGTCTGCGTTGCTTCTGACGTGCCCGCTCTGGGCACTGCTGGCTCAAGCCTTCCTGGCCCCTTGGCCGGGCCGCTCTGCCTCCTCTCTGCCCGGCACCTGGCACTGCTGGCACGCGCAGCTTCCACTTAGCCAGTCTGCGGGCAGAGTGCCGAGGCCCTTGGCGTGGGCACTCGGAAGGCGGGGTGACCGCAGCACGGGCTGGAGCTGGCCCGGGTGGGTCTGAGCCTCCTTGGCGCTGGGTCGCCCTGGCTGTGTCCTGCCCAGCCCCATCACGCCTCTGCTGAGGGTGTCTGCTCTGAGTCAGCTGGCGCTCGCCTGTTCGTCTGCGACGTCATTCAAGCCCACTGTGATCTGTGGCCGCTCACTCTGTTTGATCTGCTCTTGTACCGTGCTCCTTTTCTCATTAAGTTACCACAGAGGTACTACAGCGTCACTCTTGGTTCGTCTTACTATCAGAAGAGTGTAAAGCCCTGCATTGCATTCCTCGGGTTAGAACTTCATTTCTGTCCATAGGTTTGATTTGTTTGTTTATGCATACAGAATTGGGGTACAGGCCAGAGGTGGGGGGGGTGAGAGGCTTCACCAGAGTGGGGAGCAGAGCAGCAGAGGGGCTGAAATCCACTGCTGAGGGGAGCAGCAGGCCCGCAGGAGAGGTCTGCTGCGCCCTGTGGGTCGCTCCCTGGCCGGGATCAAACTCGTGCTGTGGGGGCCGGGGCAGCTTCATAGTGCTGCGCTTTAGCCTGACGCGCCACCGGGGAGGCCCTGCTGGTTTTGTTTTTTTTTTTCAAATCACGAATTATTAAAGGAATTTTATTGACATGTAATTTGCATATATAAAGTTCACTCATTTGGAACTGGAAACTTAATTTTAATAAACGCGTCGAGTTGTACATATGTCACCACAGTCCAGTTTGAGAATTTCATCCCCCCAGAAAACACCCCTTTTGCCATCCCCCACTCCCTCCAGCGCCTGCGCCCCAGCGAGCTTCATCCCAGCCCTGACCGGGTGTCCAGCGGGTGCTGGGTACGTGGCCACTCACATCTGGGCTTCTTCACTTGGGGTAGTGATTGGAGGCTCACACACCAGAGGGCTTGTTTCTCTTTAATGCTGAAAGTGCTCCGTTCTGTGAACATGCCACATTTTGTTCACACAGTCACAGTAGATGGACATTTGGGCTGTTTCTGGGGATTGTGATGCTGCTGCCCTGAGCAGAGATTTCCTCTGTCCCGGGTAGACCTAGGATCCGAGCTGCTGACTGGCACGGTAAGTTCTCGTTGAGCTCTTTCGGTAGCTGCTGAGTTCTCCTGGAGTGCTTTGCTCCACCTCCCGCAGGGGGGAGCTCCGGCGCGGGGGCCCCCTTCCTGGTCCGTCCGTCCATCCATCCGTCGGTCATAGCAAGTAGGTCTGTGCCTGCCATCGTGAGGGGGCTGGGCAGAGTGTCCAGCCCCCTGCCTCTGTCAGCAGACTCGCCTTCTTACTGGAACCGTGACGCTCACGCAATCTGGGCGCGAGCCCTTTATCAATGTGTGACCCGCAGCCATTGCTCCCGGGCTGTCCTGTCTTTTCCGCCTCTTAATAGTATCTTTGAAGCACAGTGTTGTAAATTCTGACGCAGTCCGGTGTGTTACCCTTCTCTTTCCAGAGCTTGCTTCTGGGTTGTCTCAGAACTCTAACCAACCCACAGTCACAGCGTTTCTTCCTGTGTTTCCTTCCGGACGCTGTGTGGTTGTGGCCCTTATGTGTGGGTGTGACCCACTTCGAGTGACTCTGTGTCCCTGCGAGGGTGCCACCCGCTCGCCCAGGGAGGCTTGTCACAGCAGCGCCGGCACCCTGGCCTACAGCCGGCCACAGCCGCGGGTTCGTTTCTAGACGCCAGACGTCGCTCCATCCCCCGCAGTGGCCTCAGCTATGCGACACCGGCTCTGAGGGGCCTCGTCCCGCCGTGACTTCCGTTCTGTGACGAGGTCGGGCACCTAGTCGGCTGTTGCCCACATGCCCTCTCCTCTGGATGCTGGGCATTTTTGTGATTCCTGTGATGGGTCCTTCATTGTTCAGGATACAAGCCCAGTCTTGGTTGTGGGGTTGCCGTTCCCCTTCTCCACCCCCCCCTGCCCCCCCGGTGTATCTTTCCCTCTCTGCCATTCTGCTGAGATGACATCGACTCCGGTGGCTGCTGATGGAGGACTTGGGCATCTTTTCATGAGCTTCTTGGCTGCGCACGCAGTCTGTGGCGAGGTGGCAGTTTAGGCTTTCAGCCATCTTCCTACTGGCCTGTAGCTTAAAAAAAAAGTCACAGGAGCCCAGGGAGGGGTTCTTTGTGCTCATCGGAATTTAAAGTTTTTCCTCCTGTGTCCTGAATTTCCACCTCAGACACTGGCCCTCCACGCGACCGGGCACGTGGTGGCTTTGGCACCTGCGACTTCTTGGCTCCTCACTTGTTTCTAGCTGCCCTGTGACGCGCCAAACTGCTCTTGATCTAATTATTTCCTTTTAATTTTTACTCCGGGGTGGACTGACATAAAATACAATAAAATCAGCTACTATAGAAAAGAAAGACCTGACGCAGCCTCAGTTTCCCCCACTGCCCTCACGTCGTTTTCCATCAGTACAGTCGGCGGCCAAAGTCACCCTGCAGTTGGTTCTGTCTGCCTCCCGCGGGCCCCTGCCCGCTCCCAGCATCGGCAGGGATGCGGAGGGCTGCTGCGCCCCACCTCCCCAGCGTGCCCCCC